ACCCACTCTGCAAATACACATAACACGGTTAAAATAGTGTTTGTTTTCTTTAATTAGGGAAATAAGCTTTTAAACCATAAAGCTGCAAAAGTTAAGTTGATCTCAACTTCAAGACACTTGTCATGGTGCAAGATGGTTTACCTTTCAGATTATCCCTCCAGTCAATTTTTCTCACTCCAGTGCATTTTTCATTGAAGTTTTCCATCTGCACAATATCGTTTTGGTGCTTAGCGAAGGCGGTCTAAAAAGAAGTTGAAATAAACAATGATTTCTTAGCTTTGAAGGACAATTTACACAAAATCAGCATAAAATGAAAAAAGGGCTCATCTTCACCTGGTATAGATAGAACCAGTTCCAAATAATACTGATTGCGAAGCATATGGCAAACATCCTTCTGAACTGAACGAACCAGGAGACTGCGGACCACAGCTGGGTGCCAATGACGGTTGATATAATGAGGATGAGTATCCCGACCTGGAACAAAGAAGAGAAGTCAGGTAACTGTAACATCTGAAACAACGAAAGCTGCTGGAAAATACTTAGAAAGTTTGAGCTAGTCTAAATATCGTTGTTGAATCTTAAGCTTTTTAAAAACGGTGTTTATAAAAAACAAAAAAAACAGACATTGACTTTCTACTGGTGATATACATTTGTTAGGAATGGTACAAACATCCACTGACTCATATTTTGACCTTTGACCAAGTCAGAAGCTATCCAAGTTGGCTGACGTGTCGCCTAGTAAAAAAAGTAGCAAATTAAATTAATTATCATACCTTTAATACAGTGTCAAGCTCAACATGGAAAGTATCTTCAAATCTCCACTTCCAGGGTTCATAATCATGTAATTTAAAGTCCATCAAGATCTGGCTGAGTGCATTGTCCAGAGCTCCAGTTCTCCATCTATCCTCCCCATTCAGGAGTGACTGGATCTCAGTCATGGCCTGTTTGGACAGCTTGATTTTGGCGTCATAGAAACCATCTGATGAGTCACTGGGCTGGGAAGATAAAAAAATAAAAATAAATTGTTTTTCAGTGCATTTTTACTGAAGGAGCATTTTAGTAAATCAATGTTCAAAACACATGAGTAGCCATAGTGCATTACAGTGAATCCTGTTATTATGGAAATATTGATTAGAATCTCACTGATAGAGAATGACCTGGATAAAATCAGTACCCACCACACCGATTCTCTGTATTTCCTTCAACAGTCTGCTGAGGAACCTCTTGAACACTGGATTGCAGCTCGGCTGTTGCGACATGAGCGTTGTCTCCTTCTTTAGGTCTTCAATCTAGAGCAAAGTAAAACACACCATTTCATGCACTTGAACTGATTCACACCAACAAAGTTACCATGCATGTTTTAAACCTAAAGTAACCTGATGTTAGAGATTTAGTCATTAATAAGTAAACCAGTAAAAAGAAGAGTGATCCGTTCATAATTATGTTGATTGTGGGGGTTCCTCCAACTATTTCAGTGTCAGTATGTTTGTTTCACACAGCATATTTATTGTAGGATGTTTGCTAATATGGGTGCGCACATTTAGTAAACACCCTATGAACAGTATTTCAAGATTACTAATTGTTTTTCTTTTGCTGAGGTTGAAAGAACTAGCTGGAGGAGCAAATATGGTGTAACACATGAAGTGGAGGAAACCAACAATCTGCTGACACTGGGGGACTTGACTCTGGAGGATCTGTCAAACACTCAAAGCTCTACTGTTCTAAAATACATTTTGGTTTTTGAATGTCTCAGTTTGATATTTGTGTTGTAGTTATTATTAGTGTTGACTTAGTTGTCTAGCTTTATTTATTGTTTGTCCTAAGTTTTCTTCCTCCCCTCCTTGTTGTATGTAGGCTAGCCTATGTGTTTAAATACCCCTGTGTTCATTGTGAGAGGTCAGTTCTGGTTTGTTATCCTTGGTTAAATTTCTCTTAGTTGATATCTTCCTTTGGCCCATTTTTTTTCCTCCAATTTTCAGTCTTTTGTTTATTAGTACTTTGGAAGAATAAATGGATGATTTTTTTCCCAAGCCTTTGTCCTTTGCCTGACTGCTTGGTCCCCGTTATCACTTTACAAAAAAAAAATGTTTTACTTTCATTTCTGCTGGTGTAAGATGGTAAAAACAAAAGTTTCACTTAAAGGAATAGTACACCCAAAACATGATTAGCCTTCATTTTCTACTCACCCCCATGCTGAACAACACTCTGGAGTACTTTTTT